GTAAACAAACAAAATGGGTGATTGAATTAGAATTCGTGTTCTAGTGATAGATAAAGTATAGTACTCAACTTGCGGTATTTGGTATTGATATTGGTAGGTTGGATGGTGACAGATGCGCTGCGACCTATTGTCCCATCTGCTTCTGCTATATCAAGGATTTCTTGTTCATAGCAGCCCCTCGAGATTCAATTCCTTCAGGAATTTGAGGATTTTGAGGGGGTCTAGCTGTGGTATGTCTTCCACAGTCAGCTGGTGTGTTCCCAGTATGTTCAATCTTTTGTGATGTACAGCGTCACATTCCATCAGTATGTGATGGGGTGTTTCTGGTTCTTCCTCCAAAATCTGCAGGTGCCGTCCTCCTGTAAGCCTAGCTTCCTTAGGTGTCATTTGAGTCTGCAATGCCCCGTTAGAAATCCCGTTATTGTTTTGGGACTTCCTTTGCTGAGGTTTGTCAGTGTCTTTGATCTTTCTCGGTTGAAATTCCCAAGGAGATCTTTAGCCTGCTGTAGTCCTGGAAGTCTTCTCCATTTTCTGGCTCTCCAGGCTCCTTCCGCCTTCTCAAGTTCTCCTTGGAAATAGGAATTTCCAAGGCCGCAGAATGGCTTTGGTCCGATCAGTGGCGTTGGAGCCCCTTGTCGTGCCAGAGTGTCTGCTTGTTCATTCCCCTCTACTTCAATATGCCCTGGCACCCAGAGGAGGATCACTTTATTGTTGCTGCCTAGCTCATTCAATTTGCTTAAGCATTCCCATACCATCTTCGAGTTGATTTAAGGAGAGCTCAACGCTTTGATGGCTGCTTGGCTATCGGATAAAATCGCGATGTCCTTCTTCCGGTATTTCCTGTCTAGGTTGAACTGGATGCATCTTCCTATGGCGTGTATTTCCGCTTGAGAAATGCTGGGGAATTGTCCCATGGATTCGAAGTATTTGGTGCGAGGCTCAAAGACTCCTGCTCCAGTTCCCTCGGGTGTTTTAGACCCGTCCGTATACCAAGTAATGGTGTTTCTTCCCAGTGATTTGATGGATTCTATGCTCCATTCGCGCTTGTTGCTCAGCTCCACTCGGAAGTTCTTCTCAAAACTGAACTTCCTCTAATGATTTGGTCTGTTGGAAGATCGGCGAGGTGTGCGATCTCAGTGGGGGGTGAGCCCCTTGCACTGTGCGTTTTCCCTCTTAGTCCGACCTTGGCTAACCTGAGATGTGCTCCATAGGCAGTTCTCCTCAACACGATGTGTAGAGGTGTGAGATCCAAAATGACCTCTAGTGCTGCTGTTGGAGCTGATCTCATTGCTCCTGTTATGCAAATACATGCCAATCTTTGCACCTTCTCTAATATTTTCCTTGTAGTGGCGAGTTCGGTTCTGCCGTGCCACATTACTGCTCCGTAGGTGATCATTGGTCTCACTAGCATGGTGTACATCCATCGCAGTATTGATGGGTTACACTCCCATGTTTTGCCTGCGAGGTTCCTGCACACCATCAGTGATGATTTTGCCTTACTGGCGATCTTTTCTACGTGTCTATTCCAGAGAAGCTTTGAGTCTAGGATGAGCCCTAGATACTTCACTTCTTGCTGCTATTCTAGGTCTGCTGCGTCTAGACGTACGACTCTTAAGTGCTGAACCTTCGTTCTTCTAGTAAAAGGTACCAATGTGGTTTTCGTTGAGTTAATTCTCAACCCCACCGAATGGCACCATCTTCTGGTAGTCTCTAGCTTTCTCTCTATGAGGTCGCAGTGGGTCCCTTCAAAACTTACGGTAATGTTCATAACTCACTTGATGAATTACACCACTGGCCTGCGGCTCGTGCTGCAAACTTCATCTGCGTTGGTTATGATCTACATTACCGCTCGTTAAATAATGTACTATTATGCAAAGTCAGTTGAAACAGATCGTCGAAGAAATGTAGGGCCACGCTGACGCTCTCTTTGAACTTTCAAAGGGACCGACGGCCCTCGGTGATGTTCAGCTGACTTTGCATAGACTTTACCTTCCAAGTTTTTGACATTAATGATAATTATTTCTCGAATGATTCGAATTATTTATTTCAGGAACAGTCTCATCTGCATGGCCTCACAATCACAGATACTAAACTGTATTCTGATTACATTCCCGAATATATTCAACAGATGGATAAAATAGTGGCCGATACTTATAAAAAGACTAGAGGTGAGTTATTATATGCATTTCAGTATAATACTATCAATAGTATATACAGGGTGTTTCATGAGAAGACTCACATAGCCAAATGGTTAATAGGGGAAATCAAGACGAGTTGATGTATATATATGAAAACATTTTTTGACCTTCCATAACGAAGATACAGGGT